GTTTTTTTTTTTTTTTTTTTTTTTTTTTTTTTTTGCTAAGCATGGATGGAAAGGTGTGGGGAGTGCATGCTCAACATTTGCGTGGGAACCACTTTGCCTTGGCAAAAGTGTAACTTACAAATGACGCGGAGAGGGATGCACATTTGCATGATCTTTTTTAAATTCATTTAAAGAGGCGTGGCTTATGCATATTTTACTCCGCCAAGGTGAGCCTCTCCTTCATAAGCCCGAACAGAGGAGCTCCCCCCCACACTCATAACACGCCCACCGGTAGTGCTACGCAGCGTTGTGATTGGACCAAAGGGGGGGGAGGTAGCTCCTCTGTTCGGTGTTACGAAGGAGTAGCTTTACCATGCGTGGGTGTTCTCAGGTATGTGAGCACAGGCGCGTGAAAAAATGAGGTGACCTGATGACTCCCCCCTTCCACCCCGTCAACCACGATGATTCAGCTTGGGTCCAAACAAATTGCATTGCGCAGCCTTGTACGTTTATTCACAAGTCATGCACGGATTGGCCAAGCAGTATGGGATGGACGGGCTGCCCCTCAGGGGGTCCAACAAAGGAAGCTACCGCCACGCATGGCCATGGAAAATATTGGTAAAAATAAACTGCTTTATTTAATGAAGAACATGCAACTGGTGAATCTATGTGAGAAGGAAATCCTCAACACCATTTCAACTTTGCTCAGCAAGTACACGAATGAAATGACGGCATGTGAGATGGGCTTTGTTGTACACACGTTATGTAAGCTAAAGTTCGTTAAGTATTCTTTGTGTACAAGAATTGTGAAATCACTTATGAGTAGGAAGCCCGTCTTCAATGACATGAGGACGTTGACGCAGTTACTCATAGATCTACACAAAATGGGTTCGCTCGACTTTAACGTCTTAACATTCCTCACGCAGCATTATGTTAAAAATTCTCTTCGTACCTTTTGTCTTTTTGACCTGTCCATGATTTTATACGTTTACAACAAGCACAGTTACAATGATGGGGAAACGGTTCGCGAGATTTGTGGCGTCATCGAGGCCTTTTTCATGCCAATAGTGGGCCAGGTGGGGCGGTCAATTCGAGGGGCGGTGCAGCGGAGCGGACAAGCGGCGCATCAGGGAAGCTGCGCTGCGGAGATGCTGTGGCACGGCGAGTGAAACCGCATATGCTTCATATTTTTTTCTGGCCCTTTTCTCAGGACAAAGGCGTGCTGACCACCATCCTGCTGAGCCTCTCCATGCTACAGCTGAACCGGGACCTCTACATGAACCTGCTTCACCAGCATGTTCATAAAAGATACAACCAATTTGAAGCCAAGTATCTTTGTAATATTGTTTACTCCGTGGCTCTGTGGCTGGTTGGGGATTGCGAGAAGGTCGATTTGTTACAAGGGGAGTCCAACCACCTGCTACGTGACCCCTCGACTCATGTCCTACAGGAGGTACTGCGAGAGGTTACGTCTCTGCTGTTGCAAAATTTGAACGTGTTGAAGAATGAAGAACTGAAGCAGGTACATAGCGAGTGTGTACAGGCACACTTATGAAAAAAAAAAATGGACACGACAATGCAAAAATACATCTCCACATATTCCTAACACCACTTTCCCCCCCCCATGTCGCAGGTCCACATAGTGCTGTACCTCCTAAGGGAACTTGGGGGGGACTACGAACAAGCCATAAACACAATAGAAAAAAAAAAAATAAAAAACACATTAACAGTGTCCAAGATGCAAAAGCAGCTTGAGAAGCTGCTCAAAGAAATGGGTCTTAAGTCGGACCGCGAATTTCCTGTGGGACCCTACGTCCTGGACTTTGTTTTTCACAAAAAGCGGGTAAATATAAGTCCTGTGCAGGCGGGGAGTGGTTATGTGTTTACCTCCATCTGAAGAAATTGCTAACCGCACCAACGGAGAGAGAGAGAGGCATTTGGGGTTGTAACACTATATTATAACTCTCCCCTTCCCCTTTCGCAGACCTGTATCGAAGTCAATGGGTTCACGCACTACTACACCTTCGGCGGGGAACTGAACGCGAAGAGTAGGTTGAAGTACTACATCCTCCGTAGGCTCAACTGGAAGGTACGGCGCGAAATACACTGCGTGGATGAGCGATGTACACGGGGAGGAAGTGTTTTCAAGTGTGTTCCCCCATTTTCCTGTGTACCGTCTCCATTTCAATTTACTTCACCCAGCTACTCCCCTCCCCCCCCGTCGACGCACACAGGTCCTCACGGTGGAGTACACAAGCTGGAAAAACAAGTCCAAGGAGGTAAAATAACAGGAGGACGGCCCGTCATTTTTAAAAAAGCAAACCAAAAAAAAAGGTGTGAAGTATGTTTAGCACATGTACTTGTGCGTAATTTTTTTTTTTTTTTTTTTTTTTTTTTTTTTTTTTTTCTTGTTCCACAGGATAAGATGAAGTACCTGGAGGAGAACGTCCTGAGCAGGATAGGCTGACGCGGCGCTGCGTTGGTGATGCTGCTTTGACGACGCTACCTTGGTGACCTTTTTTTTTTTTTGTGGCTAACCCTTAACCCTGCGCGCGCCCAAAGACTGGTGGTCCACGGGGCACAGGGACACCTGGCCATCACCTTGCCGCAGCGTCTTCAAATCGTCGGTGTGTACATTATCATTTTTTTTAACCGTGTAATATGTTAAGGTCTTAATGACCCAAGTGTCATCCTTCTGCTTGGCAAGGTTCGCAACCACTTTACCCTTTTTATTTTTTTCCGTGTGACTCTTTACGTTAATAATTATTCGAGCGTGATCCTCATTTATATAGCCGGTCCAGAAGCGAGCAAATATTATTTCACCATACTCTTCTACCAACTTTTCATCCATTAAGACTTTCTCCTTTACCAGTTTAACACACACTGGTTCGTGCAGAACCATAATTAGAAGCTTTACAACGCAATACGCGAACGTAGAAAAGAGGGATAACAAAACGGAATAGTATATTATGTGTATCTTGTACTTCTTCAAGGTGGTTCTTATGGGGGAGGTAGCAGGGAATGCATTTGTGTCCTTCACCTCTGTCGTCTCTTTACCTTTTGTGTGTACAGTGAGGAACAATGTTCTTTTATCTGTTCGTGTGATTTGTTTTCCCTCCATGGGTGCTACCTTTCCCAGCTTGGTAATAAATCCCTTGTTTGATTTGCCCGCCCAAAGGGGCGTGATTACAAACGTCCTTCTGCAGATCTGCCAGAGGAGGGCTCTACATCTGTACGCGTCGTTTCTCCCCATTTGGTCTCCGCCACGGCTCTGCGGTTAAGAAGGGCTTTAAGAAGCGGCTGCGAACGGGTTGCGACGGGGATGCGAAGCGGCTGCGAAGCGGTTTGGCCCATTTATTTGGGAGCTCTTCCTTTTGACTGCCTCCCCCCGTTGAAGCATCAACCCTGAACTGTCAACTGGGAACTGCCAACTGCAAACTGGCTACGACGTCCGGGCGCACCGACCCCCCTAAGTACGTTACGTTGCACGTTGCAGGCTATACCCTACGTGGTTAAGTGCCTGTGCGGGAATAAGCTCACCCTTGGCGCGTTAGAGTTACGCGTTCCGGGGGCATCTCTCTCCTGTAGGTTCGTCCTCACATAGGGCTCATACACGCATAAGCCTTCACATGCCTGTGTAGATTGCTCCCCCGTTTGCTTCTTCACGTTTGCCGCTTAAATGTACATATATATATGCGTATATATATATTTTTTTCTCCCTTCCATAGAAGGGGCATTTTAAAAAGGTGTAACATGAAGCAGCATATTTTGCCGCCCTGTTGATAAAAGAGTTATTGAAAATTTCACCGGCCACTTACCACATTTTTTCTCCCGTTTAAATTGCACCCCTCGGGAAGGCGGGGATCGCACGTTATTTTTTTTTTTTTTTTTTCACCTCTCCTGGGGCGTAATTTCTCAGCGGGCACAATGAAAAACGCCCCTCCCCCTTTTTGTGCACTTCATGTTGAGGGGAAAAAAAAAAAAAAAGTTTTTTAATGGGGCACCCAACTGGATAAATAAAAATTGTCCAAATTGGGGGAAGCGGGGGTATCCTCAATCTTATAAAAAAAAAAAAAAATTACAGAACATCCCACACGTTTGTCCCCTTCCCCATTTTATTGTCTACACATTTTGAAGTTGTGTCTCCCCTATGCAATTGCAAAAAATGAAAGTCATGGAAAACCTCTACCATGAGGATGTCGTAATTTTTTTCTCCATTGAAATGTTGGAGGGGATACTGGAGCTTTTTAAGCACGCGGATCAGTTCAAGGGGGGAGGACACAAAATTATGTCTTTGGGGAATTTGGAGTTTGTTTTTAGTTCGGACGAGTGCTTGGTGAGGGAACAGAGGGGGGACACGCCGTCATCTGAGAAGACGCCGCCAAGTGGGAACACGTCGCCAAGTGGGGAAGAGCAGAAAAGGCGTTGCACCCCCCTGTTCAACAACAAAAACGTGAATGACGAACAGGAGCTTATCGCAGAGGAGATAGCCAAGTGCCTGTACGGAGAGGGGAATCATGCCCAAGGTGAACACAAGCGCAAACTGGTCACAGCCCTAGTTATACAAGCCATCCTGTTTGCTAACAGAATAGGGTTGGATGTGTACAAGCTGAATTTATTTCTCTCCATCATTCTTATGACCATGCATAAAATAAGAGACAATTTAAAAGAAAAAAAAGGAAGAAAAAAAAAAACTATAAATTATTTTTTCCATTTGATGAACAAAAATGTACATTATGGTTTGGTGGAGGACCCAATAGGGGAAAGAGATTTGAAGAGGGACGTTCCTCAACAGGGGGCATGTACTTACGTCGAGGGTGAGTCACACTCCTTGAATGGGCAGCATTTCGTGAAGCCCTCCAACCGGGTTGGAAGCAAAGAGGGGGAAGATACTACGTCAACCACACAGCCCATCAGCGTGAATATAAAACAGAAAGCAGCGGAGGACGAAGAGGACGCGCACGACGCGAATGGAATGAGTGTCAGTGAGACAGGAAAAAAACAAACGGAAGACCCACTTATTCCCCTCGAGGAAGATGGACACAGACAAGTCTGCGAACGATTTATCCTCTTCCACTTTGAAGAAGCAAAGAACATAATGAAATATACTTTTGAACATATTTTTTGCATTTACAATATTATTGAATATCTTTTTTTGTTCTCCCCTGAGTTTGTACATGTGGCTTATGGAGGTGGTTTTTCCCCAGCGTCTCCACCCAAGTGCTTATTCACATCCGATGGTCTGAAGCTTGGTGAGCATTTCTCTTTGAGTGGTTCGTGTGGGCCAGCGACTCCTCTCTCTCATTTGCGTGGAAACATCTACATACATACATATGTGTGTACTCTTCCCATCCCATGTGTTGGGGAGAGGGGGAGGGAGAAAAGTTGCACGAATAGGCATTAAAAATAAGGGCTCCCCTTGGAGATTGTACCTCTTGAAAAAGGTTCTCTCCCATTTCCCTCTTCACAGGTGAAGCAGCCAATATGAATGATGAGAACATGGTGGACCACTTTGACGGGACTGAAGACGAGGAACTTGCAACGAATATTTACATAAAGGAGGCCCTGGATGTACCCCTCTTCGTTTTGAATAAATTCTACTCAAATGTGGACCAGCTGGGGCGTAAGATGGACCAACTCCTTGTGTGAGAAAAATTTTTTGCGCTTAGCGGGAAGAGACACCATGGGGTGAAGGGCTCACTTTTGCGTACACACGGAAGCAGGGTGGGCAATAACCTCCAACTTCAAAAAGGAGGCATACCATTTGTTGTCTCTCCAGGGGGTGGGGACTCCCCCCTCACATTTGCATCACGAAGGGGAACACACTTCACAACTGTTACAAATAACCAGCGTGACGGTGGAAAAAAAAAAAAAATAAATAAAATAATTCTTTACAACTTCGAGAGGTATATCCTCTTCACGAAAGATGTTCCCCCTCCTGTGAGAAACTTACAAGGAGGTACGAGTTAAACGACACACCGGGGCTTTGGTCTTCCACTTTGCATGAACACTTCTATGGGCAAAGCTTCATGCGAGGAGTTGACCCTGCCGACCAAGGGGGTGGACGCGAAATAAGTTTAAAGGGGGGAAAAAAAAATATAATAAAATAATAATAAAGGATCATAAAAGACATTAAATGAACAAGCTACATTAAAACGCGCTGTGTTGAAGGTATGCCTGTGGTGGCACGGGCAGACCTGCCGCGCACCCCCCCTCCCCGATCATGCGTCGTATGGGGACAGCTGCAACGGGAAAAAACTGCTGTTGTAATGAATGCGCGACTTGATCCACAGGGACATCATATTCATCTTTGTGTCCTTCACGTCCACTGGCTTAGGAAACAAAGTGTTATATGCATAATCGATCTTGGACCGTTCCACTTCATCTGCACTCAAATAATTTTGCATGTTTTTCAAAACCCTAGAGTCGAACCAGGAGAAGTTGTTGAAGCACTCGTTCATCATTTTGGTGTCGTTCCACTCGGAGGACATTTCGTAGGCAGTCATCATTTTCAAGTCCGCTAGGAGTAAATTTAAGTTGTTTCCATTAAGATTTTTTTTTTCTTCTTCTATTCTTTTTAAACGAGCATCACTACTGCCGCTACCGCCACTGCTGAGGCCGCCACCGAAACCGCTGCTGATATTCTCGTCCATACTTTCTTGTGTCGGTTAACCTTTCGTACGTGTGGCAAAAGGTTTTCTTCTCTGCTTCTTTGTACAGGATGCATAAACTCTACGTTTGAGGGATTGAAATGTTTGGGGGGAAAGGTAAAGGGAATTCACTGAGGAAGAACTATGCTTCTCCTTCTTCTTCCGCGTTGAACTCGCTGACGAGTGTTCTCACGTGAAAAATTAAAAAAGGTGCGGCTTGGGGGGGGGTATACCCTTTTTAAAACTCGTTCAGGTTTTTCCGTATTGGCCACTTTTACAACGTTTGTCACTTTTACTTCTTAATGACGTTCATCGCGCTCGTTGCGATTGGCATATGACTGCACATTTCCTTGCGTATGCATTCCCTTTTCCTTACGTGTACCCCACGCGGGATCGAATCAGTCATTCAGGTTGGGGGCTTACGCAACACGGGCAGCGATACGATTTTTTTTTTTTTTTTTTTTTTTTTTTTGCGGGGCTCATATCAGCCACGCCTTTGTTAAAAAGGGTACCATTTGAAAACTTTTTTTTTTTTGAGATCTTCAAAAGGATGAAACTTCTATAATGATATGGGGTTACTTGACATTAGGCGAACTTTTCCATTTTTCACCCATTTGGAAAATTTAGCAAAAGGGGAGCAGGTGGCTGTGGTATGGCCCATAAGCTCCGAATCACCCCCCCCGGGAAAGTTTTACACGAACATACAAAATGATGTCAACACTGCAAAAAGGTAAAAGGCTCATAGGCCAGCCATGTAAGCTGCTTAGCACTGCCTACATGTGGGGCACACCTTTACGGGATGAGCACCAAACACCCACACAAAATGATCGAAGATTTTTCAGCGAATATCAACATGTGCAGGAACAAAAAGTTAACCTGCCCAGGCTGAAATTGAGAGGACTACCATTCGACGCTGCAGAAGAAGAAATAAAAACCTTTTTTAAGAATTTCCAATTGGCCAATGTAGCGTACCCTATTCACATTATCAGGGGGGTAAAAAATAAGCCCACTGGTCAAGCGTATGTTTATTTTGACGACGAGGAGGAGGCCAGGAAGGCTTGCGAAACTCTGAATCGGAAATTTCTACGGAACAGGTACATCGAAATATACACCGACTACATTTTCAACCATAACTTAACACTCGTTAAGGAGCACGTCACAACGTTGATGAGGGACCGTTACAGCAAAGACAACCAATGAAGGGGGGTGGTGCTCCCGAAAGGAAGAGGACGTATTGACAGCAACTGGACATCCACGCGGGGGTCCCGAGCGGGGATCCAAACCAACATACGTGAAAGAAATAACGTGAAGGAACCAACATGATTGTTGTGGAACACCGGAAGGAAAAACGATATGTCTTTTTTTTTTTTTTTTCCTTTTTCCATTTTTTTTTTTTATTTTATTTTTTTTTCGTTTAAGTGCGCGGCACCCGTTCTTATTATTCTCCACGAGTGCCTTGCCCATTTGGCAAAAATGCCTGAACAGAATTTGTACTCATTTTGCTTTGTTTTGTTTTGTTTTTTTTTCCTGGTAACTTTTTTTTTTTTTTTTCTGTCCCCCTTACCAACCCGTTCGCTCTTATACAAGAGGGAAACATCGGTTGGCTCAACTTAATTTTTGTCCCACAGGATTTTTAAAAAAAAGGCTCACGTTTCGCACCTCAGGAGGTAGCTACTCACGTTGGCATGTGCGCACGTGTGGGAAAAAAAAAAATATGTATATATATATACATACAAATGTGCCATTATACCATTACACCTACACACAGCTGCACTGTCGTTGCTTTTGTCTGAACGTGCAGGTGAAAAAAATGCAACTAATAGGGTCAAGAGCTAAACATGAGCTTTTCGCTTTTTCTGTGCCCACTTTGGGAGTTGTTAATTTTGATTATAGCTGGGCTTGACCAGCGAGCCGTTTTTTTTTTTTTTTTTACTTGACTTTTTTTTTTTTTTTATGAACGTTCATACAATTTTAAAAAAAAAAAAAAAACTAGCCAAAAAGACGCTTTAAATGGTTGTATAAAAGGAGGTTAAGGTGTCTTACACTTACGTGTGTTTTGTTTCGCCGCTGCGCTACATTGTGCCACATATTATTGGCTTCATTTTTTCATTGCTCGTCCCTATGGGCACACTCATGCGCGCGTCTTTTCACTTCTCATCAGTACCACAAGAGAGAGAAGGAGAACAGGAACAAAACACAAAGAAGAAAAACAACATTGATCATTTTTTTTCGTTTTTTTTTTTTGTGAAAACACCTTGTTATCTCAAGCGCGTTAACACAACCGCTTGATCATTGCTTAACTTTAATACATTAACCTTTTAATTTTAGTCTATTCCGTTTTTTTTTTTTTTTTTTTTTTTGCATACACATATGAAACATCAACATGCATCCAACAACGAGGCGGGGAAAGGCACAACCAAAAGGGGAAGTGCGCCCGACAAGAGGAAAAAAGGAAATGACAAACAAGGAAAACAGCATCCTCCACCTCAAATGATAATAGAGAAAAAAAAAGGAAAAAAAGAACCTAGTATAAAGAATGGAAACATTGCTGGTGTATTACCTCTGCACGACGAAAAAAAAGGGCCATTGAGAAGTAATAGCGTAGGTTCAAAGGAAAACGAGGATGGTGTCGCCCAGGAGAAGATGGGACAACCCAGCGGGGGAGCCAAAGCAGACACAAGGGAAAAGGATGGCCGAAAGGACAAGCAAAGTACACAAGTCATACATGACACACAAGACGCAAATGCCAAAGCACGCGTAAAGAACAAGGGGGGAAGCAACAAAAAGAGCCCTGACAAGACGAGCACCAGGAAAAGCGCAGAGAAGGCTTTGGACGCACCCCCAGTGAAACGCACTAAGAGAAGAATCGGCCAAAGGAAGAATCCAAAGGGAAAGAGGAGCCAAACGAAAAAGCATAAAGCAGGACATGACCAAACGGAGCAACAAAGCATTAAAAGAGAACAGTCATCAAAACGAATAATCTCCGCAAACGACAAAAGGGAAGGAGAATCTCTACTAAATGAAAGAAGCCTGATGGCCATTCAGCCCAGGCAGCTAAGCTTGGCTTCTTCGAAAAGGGGAGAAGACGTAGTAGGGGGGAGGAATAACAGCACCATTATAGAGGTCACTCCGTCAGGTAGCATCGACCAAAGTCGCATAGAAATAAATGGCATACGTCTAGGAAGCGTTGCGAGCTCCATTTTCCACTTGAGTCAGAGTGCACAATGGAGGGACGAGCCCGAGTCCCACGGCCTCAGCGTCAGCCCCAGCACCAGTCACGCTAGCAGTCGAGAAGGTATTCCCTTTTTCAGCGGCGGAGTTAGTCGAGATGGTAGTCCACAGGTCAATCGCGCTGTCCGTTCACAGGTTATTTTGCCTGTTAGTCGAGACACCAGTTCGCAAGTTGTTTACTTGGCAAGTCACTCGGTAAGCCACACAAGCAAGGAAGAACGGGGACACTCAATTGGGCACTCTGCTACCCATTCGATTGGACATTCTCCTATTCATCACTCCATTGGACATCCCGTTAGCACGTTAATTGGCCACTCAGCTAGCCACACAAATGAGCAGCACAGGCGTAGGCATGAAAGCGGCCGCTCAGTCAGTTACTCAGTTAGCCATTCCAGCAGCCCCTCAATTAGTCGCCCACCTGGCCACTCAATAAGTCACGTGCTTGGACACCCAGTGAGCCGCCTGAATGACCTCCCGATTGGACACCGCATCAGGCGCGTCAGGGGAGGACCACGCCCTCTATCACCAAATATATACAGCAATGGCGGCATCAACGGTGACATTCGTGTCCAGGAGAACAACCAACCCCGGGACACGTACGGAAAGAGCCTCTTCTGCGAACTGACGGAGGCCCTACGAAACGATTCTATGCAGACAAATGAAAAGAGCAACATAAGCATTCAACTCAAGGCCGAGGAAAAAGAACTTCAAATAAGTATGAACGAAACGACTGCGCATATGTTGAGTATGCAAAAGAACAACTCCAAGAGGTCTATCGATTTGATTAATTTGTCACAGGACTTAAAGACTAAATCCAAGGGGAGTGTCGTTGAGATGGGGAAGGGAAAGTGGACGAAGACCATGACCACTTTGAAGAGCTCCAGGAAGGCGAAGAAGCAGGGGAGTAATCTTCGCGTCAAAGCGAAGGGGAGAAAAATGGCCACCCGTAGGGGAAGCGACCTCGGAAGGGGTAGCGGTGACTCCAACGTTGTGGAGGGGAAGGGGAAGGGCATGGCCAAGGCGAAGACGAAGACGAAGGTGAGGAAAAAGGACGAGGCTATTCGTGGAAGGACAAAATTGATTACCCCCCCAGAGGTGAAGAGGCCAAACAGGACGGGCAGAATGGGCAAGGCGGATGAGCCAAGGAAAGGGGCACAGGGGGTACCGAAAATGGACAAAAAGGAGGACAAAAAGGAAGCCACAAAGGAGGTAAAAAAGGAGGCCACAAAAGAGGATGGACAAAAAAACGATAAGACGACGACGGAGAAAAAGAAGAACATAGAGGAGTCGAACAAAATGAGCATAGAAGCAGTGAACAAGTTGAGAACAGTGGAGGTGAACAAATTAAGAACAGGGGACATGAACAGAATGATAACAGGCGAGGTGAACAAATTAAGAACAGAGGAGATGAACAAATTAAGAACAGGGGAAGTGAGCAGAATGATCACAGGCGAGATGAACAAGTGGAGAACAGGGGAAGTGAGCAGAATGATAACAGGCGAGGTGACCGTCGCGAAGGAAAGGGAAGAAGGGGAAGAGGAGAAGGCGAAGGCAGAGGAGGACCACGCGGGAGAAAAGTCAGACCGCGCAGATGTAGGCGAGGTGGAAGAGGCGGAAAAGGAGGAAAACAGGACAGAAAAAATCTTAGAGACAAAAACGGGGGACCCAGGAGAGGATAGAACCCCAGAGGACGGGGCCCAAAAGGAAGAAGTAAATGAAGTTAAAGTGCAATGTCTGAAGGAAGACGGACGTGCACATGTAGCGGATGTCAACGATGGGCATCACAAGGGAAAGGGAATAAGAACGATGGAAGTTTTTCCTGAAAAGGTAGCATCGAAGAAGAAAATGAAATCCAGGACAGGAGTGAAGGTACGTCAGAAGGAAAAGGAGATTCGAGGGCATGCAGGGGATGAGCAGGTGTCTGTTGTGGGTGGGGGAGAAAGGAAGAGAAAAGCCGCTACTAAACTGTGCGTCGCGCACAGGGAGGATAAAGCATCGGTCCAGTTGTCCGTGGAAAAGGGAACCATGAAAACTAAACACAACGAGGTAGATAGCATCCTGCAGAGGTACTTGCACTTGAGGGAGGAAGAAGAAGTTTCCGCGAAGAGGAAATCTGCATGGGATGATGTCCCAGATGACCTGCTATATGCAGAAGGAAGGAAATTCAAAATTGATGTTATTAATTTTGTACGAAATATAAGAGTAGGGGAAGAGTCCATTCATGAAGATATTCTATTCTTCTTTGATTCTTATAAAAATAAATTAAAAAAAAAAAAAAAAAAAAAAAAAAAAAAAAAAAAAAAAGTATTGTCCTTAATTAAAAAGCTGTTCAAATGTGAGCACTTTGAATTAGACGGCATTAAATTAATCTTGCAGATCCTTGACAAAATTGTAATAAAAATGATGAAGGAAATTAAGTTAGAGCAGATTGTGAGATGCTTCTCTCAGGTGACACATTCAACAAATGATGGGCAGGTAGGTGGGAAGGGGATAGCTTTTACTCAAGAGAAGAATGGAAGCAAAGATGCAGGTGGCACAGATTATTATTCAGCATGGAATAGAAATGGATTATCACCAGATGAGAAACACCTGAACGAGTACAGAAATAAATTATATAATGTTATTTTCAGTCCGAGGACAGCACAAGGACTTGATCCTTCCACCCTCTACTTCATGCAACGGTGGAACGACAATGCTATGTTGATCATGCTGCGGGAAAAGTTGGAGGAAATTCAACGGAGGAAGGTTGTGTTGCCACTGAGGGCCGCCATCCCTCTGTCATGCTTTAAATTGTTAAAGCGTAAAGTTATGTGCAACTTGACTAATGCGTGTTGCACGACTGGCCGTGACATGTGTGATGGGGAGTTTTTTTCCTTGCCCCTTCCGCCACTCGCTTCCAGACGAGTGGTGAACAGTGAGGGGGGCGACTGCTTCGTGAAGGTCGGCGGTGCGATTCGTGTGCTGGCGTCGAAGTAGAAGGGTGCAAAATTGAAACTTTTGCGATTTGCCCCCATTTCCCCCTTTTTTTTTACACCGCATTTTTCCTTTTTTTTTTTTTTTTGTTTGCAAAACCGAGCTAGCAACCGACGAACGGATTCAAAGGTGGGAAAAGCGTTGTTTGGGAGGAAGCGATTGTGGAGTGTCTACTTCTCACGGTGAATTATTAGCTAAATGAAGGGAAAGACCAATTATCAGGGTTTAAGGGAGTTCAAATATGGAGGGTAAAAAAAAAAAATGTAATATTGTGCAAAGTGTGTGGGGGGCACCCATAAACTGCCACCACCACTACGACGGGCCATTCACGTGGGCGGGAGGAAGCCCTTTTCGCCCACCCAAATGGGTACACAAGGGGAGGTGTCTATTTCTCTAAAAAGCAACAAAAAAAAAAAAAAAAAAAAAAAAAAAAAAAAAAATGCAACGGTTTGGTCTGCTCCATTTCGATCCTTTACCGTATGGTAATGACACTCTGTTTTTTTTTTTTTTCATCCACTTAATTCACCTCACGACAGGCCACGTACTTTTTTGTTGTCCCATTTTACTGAGGCGCATTGGCACTTTGGGAGAGGCTCCTCAAAATGCTTATGTATTGGTCAGGAATGGCAACAGAGTTATTCGAATCGTTGACTGCTTTACAAATAGGAGGGATGTCACGTTCGCATGAAAAAATGTTCGTAAGAAAAAGGAGAAAATTAAAGTCGCGGAATATACTGACCATGTCCTTTTTATTATGTAACGACCTAGACATGTAATTAAACCTTTGGAGAATGGTGTAGTAGTTGCTGTTGTTGGGGTAGGGGAATAAAGTATTGTAGAGGCTCTTGTGGGATAGAATGGGGACGTTGTTAACACAGAAGAGGACATCAATTTGCTTCACTTCGATTTTCTCAATGAGGACGTCACTTTTACATTTCAAATATAACTCATTCATTAGGTCAACTTCGGTGTTGAAGTTTTTTATCTTTTGGTCCTTTTCATTTTTGTTTGCTTCGAAATGCAGTATGCTGTTTTGCTTTTGCATGTCTTTGATGATGTCCTGATTTAGCAACTTGAGCAAGTCGTAATTTATTTCGTACGCCTCGACAACTATCGACTTGGAGCTTTTGTCCATACCGACAGATAGTGTGATGAATGGCTTTACGTTGTGAATTTTTTTTTTTTTTTTTTTTTTTTTTTTTTTCCCTTTGGTGTGTGATTTTGCCATATTTTTTGCCGCTCTTTTTGCGCTTCCACGGGGGATACACTATTTGAAGTTGCTGCGTTGGGGAGTACTGCATTGGGGGGGGCTACACCGAGTGGCTGTGTCACCGCGTTCACCTCGCATGGCATATTCTTCCGCGTGCAGTCATCGCGGTGCTTCATCACTGTGAGCGCGAGGAGAACCTCCCTACCCCCCATAGGGATGAACAGCTCGTTGTCCTCATCATTCAACGTTTTTATCTTCTTATTAAGTTTTACGAAATGTTTGCTTTTCTTGTTGGACACACTTAAGTCTACTCCGATGTCGGGGTAGGCATACAGAACGCCCACCACTTCCAAGTTCAGCATCTTTGCCAGCGCGTCAGCCTTCCTTCTGTCTTCGCTATTGAGCAAGTAATCCATGTCGTACATTTGTTGTGGTTGGTTCAAAGCAAAAAATACATTTTCGATTTTCACGACAGAGTCATCCTCATAGGTTCCGTACAGGACACCGCAGAAGAGTTTCTTGTCCCCCAGGTGTCCACTGCTCCCATTGTTGTAATTTGCCTCGTTAAAAAATTCTTGCACATTGTACAGGCAGGCTTCACTGACGCTCACATTTTTGCATAAAGAATTGAACAGCGGGTTGATGGATACACGTTTGTTTTGTTCTAGGAGAAGAAATTTGTTTCCTACCTGTTCGTTCACTTTCTTCTTGTTATTGTCATTGCTTGTGTTGCTTTTTCCCCCGGTGCTGTTCGTGTTAGGGTTAGCCTTAGCCTTTCTTTCGCCTTTTCCCCCTATGCTGAACAACACGTTTGGAGTTATTGCCGCCCTGTTTATTTTCAACCCGTTGCAATTAGTGCTTGCGCAAATGAAATAGAGGCATGTCAGAATGAACAGGGGGACCTTTTTCATTATTCCAAAGGAGGGGAGAAGCAAAGGGGGACAGGGAGCATGGGGAACAAAAAGGTGCGATTCTGCTGGGCCCACCACGCGTGCTACATTTTTTACAACACTGTTGGAGAAACTCCTGCGCGAGTTAGTAAAGGGGGGAAAAAATTACACACGCTCAAATATACGTGAGTATTCATTCGTGTATGTACCTGTGACGGAGTATATGCCTTGGCACTTTCTCTGTGTCGCGATATCTAATCGGTTGACTTGCCAATAGGGTTGGGAGAATGGTCAATGCGACTCGCCGCAGGGTGTGCGAGGGGAATTCAGTGCCCCCTACAACAGCAAAGGCGTAAACAGTGACAGCAAAGAATGTCTTAATTGAGACCAAATGGGAAAGCGAGCAAGCAGGTCACGTACAGATAATTTGTTACATTGTGGCTCAGTTTTTCAGAAGATGGCAACGTGATGGAAACTTCTTCCAGTTTGATAAAAAAGAAACCTGCTGTGTATCCAACTAGCTAATATTTTTTTTTTTTTTTTTTCATACCTGTTCAGGTAATTTTTCGATTTAAAAAAAAAAAAAAAAAAATTAGCTATCTACCTTGCGGCAGATTGGCCCTTCCCAAACCTGCACACATGTATATATGCACGCTTATGTGGATGAATGCCTCGTTCTGTGACTCTCTCAGTTTCGCCCTTTTAACAACCCATAAGAACAAACCGGCGCGGCGAGAAAAACAAAATCAACATTGCCCCATTTGGTAAATAACCAAGCACTTGCATACATGACAATATAGGGAGATACACCCAAAGTTGTCTCCCAATTGTCCGCATGGCGAAAGGGATGTTCACATGTAATTTCAGCGTGGTGGTGAGCGATGATTAAGAAGCCGTATCCGCCCGGCAAAACAACTGAACAGGTCTCTGAAAATGACAAGTGTGTAATTTAATGGGTTGTCCTTATTTCTCTTTCGCTTAAACTTTTGTAACTGCTACGGGGACCACAATGATTGCCGAGAAAATGTACATCCTGTTCGCTTTGTGTAATGTGGCTCATTAGCACAAAACAGTCGTAGCGGCGAAGAGAGTTGTAGTTACACCATTTCAAGTGGCGTCTTACGCGGACACAAATTAACCAAAGAAAAGGTACCTCTTATCGCTATGTAATTGTCAAAGCTATTAAATTTCTGCGAACGGTGAATTGGGTTACCTTTGCGGGGCTCTGTTAAAACGTAAGGATTGCCTCTGTGCATGTTATCCTCCGACACACATATACTTACATATTAACACCTACGCGGAAGCACTCAATGGGCTGCTTCGCGCAACGCGAGGCTCTGTCCCCGAGTGAAGACCTACCACGGGGGCCATGTCCAATGCATCACATGAAATGGATACATCCAAATGTGTTGGCGGCGATCCACGCAGGGACATCTCACTTAGACATTAAGTCACATAAGCACACATACATATACCGCGCAAAATTAGTAGAGTTAAACTAGGAAGGGTGGAAAAGAAAAGACGAGGAAGAAAAAGGGAGAACATGGTTCTCAGTTATAAGTTGGTACATCAGTTCTTCGTGCCATCATGTGTAGCACAGGTGAACATAATTTGAAACAACCATCAGGTGCGACGCCAACATGAACGCATACGTATCAACATATACATACAATCATACATGTACATGCGTACATTGTACTCACGCGTGCACTCAGGCATGCACTGAGGCGACTACGTCAAGGAATAGTCCCCCTTTCAGAAAAACACCTGTCCCCAGGGGGGGGGAAATAACCGGAAATAAGAAACAGTTTGACCAAAGGTATAAATCTTAAACGGGCCAAAGAGATGAGTCCCCTCTTCACCCATCCCAAAAAAAAAGGCAGTAAATGGAAAGGGTCACAGAAAAAATTAATGTAATGACACCAACGTGAAGGTGTGAACGGACCCCAAATTTATTGTGCCCGCATCTTAGAACAAAAAAAAGGGGGGCAAGAACAAGGCCTTTCACCCTCTTTCCCCACTGTTCACAATTATGTTTTTTTCGTATGAATTTTTATTTACATGCCGATCTTCCCCCCCAAGAAGGGTGTACAGGGTTCTTTTTTTTGTAGCCCAGTGTTTCTGTGTACTTATGTCATATAACACGAATATATAAAATGATGCTTCCTAATGGCAAGCCCGTGGTGAGAAAAAAAAAAAAAAAAAAGTAAAGAGGCTTGGGAAAAAAAGAAACCTGTCCCTTCTTTTCAAACCTCGCAGGCAGGCCCAAAATATAAAAATAAATTGTGTACTATATATTATAATAATATATGGTATAACATATACGCTGCTAATTGCACCCTTGTGTATGCACGCGGGCGCATTGCGAAAGTTGAACGTCGATTTGTTGGCGCCAGTAGATGGGTAATATATATTATGTAGTGCGCGTCGTCACGCGTTCACTGCTTCCCCATTTTGTGTACATGTTGACCGCCCATTGCTCTGCCTAGGGGGAAAAAAAATTGCGCGCGTTGCTTCCGCATGCTTAAAAAAATAAACAAAAAAAAAAAGAAAAAACCGGCAAGAGATAATTGGTATTAACAAAAGATTACCCCCCCATTTTCATTTATTGCTGGTACGTGGGGGTGCGTACTGGGTAGTTATTTTTTTTCCCTCATGGCAAATGCACTTGTTAACGCGGCATCACTTAAAAAAAAAGGGGTTCTGTTCTCGTGGAGCCCTAGGGACGCGTGGCGGACCCCCGCTGGAAAAACGCGCCCCCCCTGTCACCCCCGTACATTTGTGCGTACGGATACGCGTAAATGTTGCCTACATATATATTTGTGCGTATTATTTTATTCCGTGTACATGTAAGCATTTGTGTTTCCAGCAGCGAGAAGCCCGCATGTACTGCACTTGTACGCGTGGCGCGCTAAACCCGAGCCTACATTTATAATATCCCCCGCAGGCATCGCTTTCGTTGGCATGTACGCACGGCGCGGTGAATAATACAATAATAACAGAAAAAAAGGACCCATCCCTTGCGGGTATTAGGTAGTGAACGACAAGTATATTTTATATTTCCTCGTCCCCCGTTGTGCGCCGCCGCCTTCCAAATTTCGCAGCTTCGCAAACTTGGCGACTGCACTATGTCGTTTCTCCTCGCGCATCGCACAAAAAAAATTAATTTTCAAGCAACATTGCGCCTTTGTACCCAGTTTCTGCAAAAATAAAAAAAATTATTGCCCTTGGCCTTTTTTGCCTCTCGTTTCAGTGCACTCATATAATATCGTTTCTCATCTGAGTACTGTTATTTTACATCATGCTACCCCTGAATTAATTTTATATGCCCACCGCCTCTTTTGTGTTCTTTCTTTTTTACGGCTTAAAAATTCTTCCTCAGCATTTTTTTTTTTTTTTTGCTTTCCCTCGAGCATATGCTTTTTAACTTTTTTCACGGCATATTTTTTTTTTTTTTTTTTTGCTTTTTTTTTTTTTTTTCTCTGTTCATTTTGTATCGCGCCATTTTTATTCCCCCCATTTTTTTTTTCTCATTTTTTTCTTTTCCTCTTCTTTCTTCATTTTTTTTGTTGCTGCATCATCCCTTGTGCAAAGGTTTATGCTTATCTCCAGAATTCTCAATTTGGCCATGTAGCCAATTTTTTTTTTTTTTTTTTTTCTTTGAGTTTACGTTTAACTCATTTTTGTGTTTATTGTATGTATATATATATACATGTATACTTACATATCCACATACATTTCATGTACGTGTCATGGACGTTATGCCTTTGGCACATCCATCTGTACATTTTCCTTTATTTTAACTTTTATTTTTCCCTTTATCCACATTGCGTTGTTTTACCTGCGTTTCTTGGCGCGAGTGCTTTTACTCGCATGGTGTGCTTTGTCCACGTTGCTTTTCCTTGTTGCTTGTTTTCCTTGTTTTGCGTCCTGTGCGCGAAAATTGCACATGCATTACGCCTTTACCTTTTGTGTTCCACCTTTTTGGGCACATTTCCCCCCCCTGCTGCCGCTGGCGTGGACTTTTTCTGGCCATTACGTATAAACAACAGTTGCATGCCTACCTCGCCATCTGCGTGCAGGCACAGCTTGTGATGTATGGTTACGTAAACGTGGGAGAAAAAGCCCCCCCCCTGTGGCTGCAAAGATTTGCGCAGTTGTATACTTTTGGTAACGCAAAGGCATTTTATTTTTTTTTTTTTTTTGCTTGCGAGAATTTTCACGTAGAACAATTTTTTCCACCGCATTTTTCTCCCGTGTGAGCGCGTCACACCTGTACATGCGAATGTAGACGTCCTGTGTTTGCGTCGTTAGTGAATGATACCCGCGAAGCGGAACAATTGTGACGTCTTACGAACGCTGCGTTGCGCACAGTATTTTTAAACCACATTATAATCATTGCATTTTTTTTTCTTGCATTCGCGAAGGAGAGAAAGACACATACAGGCGAATAGACGCGTGTCGTGGTGTGTTTTTTTATTCCTTTTTCCATGCTTTTTTTTTTAAATAAGCTAGCCATACACCGTATGGGAGAAGCAAGAACGGGAAAAAGTCGTTGTGCTTCCATGTATATCATTTTACCTGTAACCCAGTACTGCTCACATGAGACATCCGCATTCCTGCGCGTGATGTGCCTGTAGCAACAAAAAAATGAGTGACTTCCTCCTACGCACATGTATTTTGAAAAGTGACATCTGCCAAAGTGGCATTCCTTTTTTTTAATAACTACATTTTGTATTAAAAGGGACTAGTATGTTGAAGGCATGTCTTTTATTTTATGTATTATTTTTTTTAGCATCGCCCTGGAAAATAACACTTCCACACTGTGTATATATTTTCAGGAACGTATGCGCATACGTACGGATGAATCCGTGTGTGGTATAATTTTACTTATGAATGTGTTTTTCTAGCGTACACGCTTTCCCCATCCATGCTTCCACCGGTTTATACTTCCTCGCTTGAGTAACCCGTGTTTTGTGTCGTATGTGTAAGTTACTCACCTGTTGTATGCATGTTGTGTGAATGTTGCTCCTTGTAGGGTTTTGCTTATGCAGTACAACGAGCAAACCCTTGCATGGGTGTTATATACTTAACAGTGCGTTATAATTGTAAAAAAGGGGCAGACAAAAAGAAAAAAAAACAGACGGAGAAATAGAAAGAGTAGCAGACAGTAAAGGGGAGACACAAATACCTCAGCGCATGTAATCACTTGTATACATGTGGCTGTACCCGCCGCCTCCCCCCCCCCTTGTTGTACATGACCGTTTGCGCGTCCCACCGAAAAGACAACACACAAACGTGTTCGTATGAACCTGTGCATCGTTTTCACCACTCGTGATTTGACTGTGCGCTGCGGCTGTTAGCTGGGCGCTACACGTCGCTCATTCATTAATTCGTTTGTATTGCTCATTTATAGTCCTCATTTATGCGTATGGTAGAAGTCGACGGTGAAATCGATCGCCAAGTTGACCGCACGCGCAGCCGTAGTTGTGTACTGCATAACCACTGTGTTGCGTACTCGTCCATTTCAGTCGCTCGCGCGCTGAAAAGGCGAAGCGGCCGTGCCTTTCAATTGTTCTCTCCCATTTTGTATGCCCCATTCTTGCCATTCCCTAGTGCGCCGCGTCCCCTTTTGCCATTCCATGTACTCGACTTTTGCCCCCGCCCATTCCCGTTCATTTCCTTTTTTTTTTTTTTTTTTTTTTGTTTGTGAATTCCACACTGAACAGTTTTTGGTGAAATTTCTGGGAGGCCATTTTTACACGCACATATAATATAAATTCATTTACACTTTTGCGCGAGAAATTTTTTTTTCATATTATTAACGCGTTGCGCGAGAAAGGGAAAAAAAAAAAAACACTCGAGGGGGACGTGCACGCAAAATATACGTATATTACTTCATATACACGTACGCACGTACACACACGCGTGTCGCGCTGAACTGTGCGCATTTTTTTTCTGCGCCTGTCCACCCTCTGCACACGCGACGTTTATACACCTGTGCGCGCGTTTTGCGCGTGGATGTGGACAGTGAAGGTGGTGTGTATTGTGCCAAGTGAGAAGTGTCAAGTGAGGAATGCCCTTCACCATTTTCATGCATGTACCCCACAGCGACGCCGCCTTTGTGTCCATTCACGCATACGCGCTCGCCAGTATATGCGCGCGTAATCGTCACGCCTATGTGCGCAATCAGGGTACCGGAAAGCGCAAGCAGTGAGAATTAAAAAAAAAAAAAAAAAAAAACGCACATATATGTGTATATGTATGTATTATATGCGTACACCTCCACAAGGCCAAAAAAAAAAAAATCAACACCAATTTGTGTTCCCTCTGGTGCACAAAAACACGTGGCGCACACGTACGCGCAATCGTATATGTACGCACGTTCGCTTGTAATTGCGTACCCGCGGCAGTTACAGCATTTGCCTGCGAATAACAGCAAGGCGATACGAAGGAAGAAGGAGGAGGAACGTTTTCGGAGGCTGCGTGTTTTTCTCATCCACACTGGACACTTGAAGGTAAGCAAAAAAAAAAAAAACAAAACTCCGCGCCAGTAGCGGTTGCCCATATGTACGTATGTGTGCCACCTTTTTTCATGTACGTGAGTGCATGTGCAGATGGCGGTTATGCACGCGCATGTGAAGTGCTTGAAGAGGTGAATTGGTGGCGTATACAAGGGGCTGTTGCAAAATCGCACAAGTGCTGATGCACGCCCCCTCCTTCAAATGTAATAACGTATAACCTATGTACGTGTATATTTCATTGCTTCACTAATAAAGGTGTATCTCAGCGTGTAAGCATATGTATACTTCCCATGTGATGCTTTTCTCTCATGTGCATTACTGCCTACCGCGCACCTCTTTGTGTGACCAACATAGAAAAAAAAAAAAAAAAAAAAAAAAGCATTGCATCCAGTTGTTTTACGTACCCTACACGATCGTTAATGTTCGTATGCACCATTGTGACCCATCGTGCCGAACCGTATTCCTCCCATCGAGCGAATTAATTTGTTGAGGATGTGCTTTTATGCACGTGTTTGTTCACGTGCTAGAGTGCAGCTTGACTGTATTTTCGCTTTTCTGCGCCCGTTGGAAGTGCGCTCTTGTGGCCCCTTTTCCTTGTTGCGTACTTCTTACATGTGCATTTCGCGGCTGCATATTTCTCATTTGAGCACGTTGCAGTTGTGTGTGTTGACGCGAAGTTAAATCTAATTAGTGTTCATTAGCGCTCCCATCTTTTTCACCCTGCAAATATATACACACACACACACCAATGCATAAGTCATTAAAGGAATTAAAATTAATTAACAGTGATGTTAGTTTGTTTTCCCATCCATTTGTTTATTTAATCGATTGTATTTTATGGAATACATTTTTATATTCATTCTCTTTTTGTTTTTTTTTTTTTTTTTTTTTTGCGGCATAGTTGCTATGTTCAAGCGCAGCCTCTCCTGCCGTTCCCCACTTGTGTTGTCCACTCGTATGAAGACACACAAATGATTTGCATTCCCGTGTATGCCACTGCATACCTGCCGCATTTAATACACGTTCTTACTTAAACAGTTAATTCCCCCTTCTGTGCGAGCTCTACACAAGGGTTTATTTTGTAGTCAGTTATTTCATTTCTGCAGTTGCGTCATCCTGTGTGTTTAAGTGATTGATTAAAAAGAGAGAAAAAAAAGAACACATTTTGCATATGTGTTTTTAAGTTTACTCATTAAGGCACTAGTTGTGTATATGTGTGCCCATTCGATCCACGCTTGTGTGTGTGTGCGTATGTGCTGCATGTTTTTGTACATGCCCGTGCCCGCTGGCAAATGCACTCTCAAGTCCGTACTGGATATATGTGTCCCATGTTGCATTATCCCGCCCGTTCACCATTTTTTTTTTTTTTTTTCTCCATCTTCATTCGACATTCTTTACTTTCCCTTCCCCTCTCCTTAGCAAAATTAGTGTCCAGCACACGCGCTACATTTGATTTACACATACATATAAAATTAAAACGAGAATTCCTTCCACAGATATACCTGTGTTTTGTGGAAGACTAATTAATCAACAGCCCGAGCAGCATCCATCGTCCGAGTGACAAAAGGAGGTGAAGGCGCGAAGCGGGAAAATTACACACCAATCACAGTTTGCGCATGTATATATATGTATATATGTGCGTTCCTGAGCCGGAAAAAGCGCCAAGCAGATTATACACGCGAACCCTTGCACGTGCATGAGGACGATCGCAGAGTAAATTATAGCTGGCAAGATGATAAGTAAATGATATCGAAGGAGCAGTACTGTAACGAAAAAAAAAATTTTCGCAGCATCCAACACTGGGTAGCCGTTTGTTGATGGACTCGACGACGACACACCACAGTGTGAGAAAAGGAAGCAGAAGGAAAGAAAAGCAAAAGTAGTAGTAGTAGTAGAGACAGCACAGCGACTTCACATCGCGACCCCAAGAGGACGCGCAATCAACTCCGCCCCGGAAGCACAACATGAGTGGCAACAACCCCTGTGGAAGCGGTGGTAGCAGTGCCAACATGCGTGACGCCATGCATTATGGCGACATGATGGAAGCGGACAACGCAGGTGGTATGAAGGGCACGGCGCCACCCAACAGTTACATGAACCAAGTAAATAGTAGTAAGAACATGGCGTCCCCCCTTTCTTACCTGAACAGTGCCAACAGCGTTAATATGGGCAAGGGTATGCACTTCAATCCCATGTCCACTGGTGGCGGCGACGGGACCATAAGTATAACGAGCAGCCTACTAAGTAGTAATGAGCAAAACATACAGATGAGGCAACAGATGGGCATGAATAAAAATTGTGGTGGTGCTTCTAACTCTGGTAGTGCATCCGGAGGAGGAGCAGGGCTGCACGAGTCATCGTATCAGAAGCCCATGTTATCAACCTATAACATGAACAACATGCAAATGCAGTCGTCCATGGGAGGTCACCACATGGTTAATGCGAATCAAGCAGGTGGTGGTAATGGTAGCAACCAAATGGGAGGTAGATACAATAATATGAATTATCCTATGCAGGACATGAACCCTAATGTTCATATGAACAGTGGAAAAGGTGGTGGTCCCCATACAAATACTGAAATGAAGCATAGTAGTAGTAGTAGTAGCAGTAGTAAGGATCCCACTTTTTTGGGGTCAAATAATATGAAACCGAACACCTTTGTGAATAATATGTATTATCAGAGGAATGACATGATGTTAAGGAACAGCTCTAATAGCTACAATATGCATGGGAACTATTATGGGTATATGAATAATGGGTTTTATGGTGGCCCTGGGGCTCCTTCCAACTGTTTTAAACAGAATGTCAACATGATGAATAATACACGGAACGGGGCAAGTAACAGCAGTGGTAGTAGTAACGGTGCTGCTGCTGGGGTTGGTGGTACCGGTGCAAACTACGTAGATGGTATGAATTCAGTTAATCATGGAGAGGGTGGCCTGAGTGGTAAAATGGGTGGTAAGGGCCCCACGGGTATCATTGATAAAGCTGCTTCGTTAAAGTCTCTTCATGGAAGTAGTAACACCAGCAGTATGGGTAATGCTGGTAGTGGTATGAATGTGAGTCCATTAAATATAGGAAGTAGGGCTCTTAATGGCAGTGGTATGAACTGCGTTGGAGGAAGTAATAACAGCAACAACAATAACAGCGGTGGTAACAACAACCCCGGCGCGAAGAACATGAACAAAGGGAGCACCGCTGGTGGAGGCGCAGGAGCCATGAGCGTCGACTCCACAGGGATGCCAAACAATATGATGATGAATATGGTTAACAATAACGTTATTATGAATAACAAGGTCATGAATAACATGATGATGGGTAATGGTGGTGCCGGTTCAGGTGGGGCAAAGAATGTCCTTGGTGCAGGCGGTCTCCCAGGTATGAACATGGGTGGTATGAATATGGGCGGTATGAATATGGGTGGCATGAGTTTGGGTGGCATGGGAGGCATGCACGGTAAAGGAATGAATGGCATGCCGACCCACCGACCCAACAACGCGATGGAGAAAGTCAATTCTCTGGGTGATGTGAATGGCATGAGATACCACCATCCCATGGGGGGTGCAGGTGGTAACATGTACAATAAACTGGGATTCAACAATTTGAGTGAGTACCCATATGATAATTATGCAGCTAACCACATGGCTGCTAAGAGCGAGTGTGGCCCAATGGGCAAGGACAACAAGGGAGCCCTTGGAGGAAAAAATGCCAACAACCATGGAAAAGGTAACAAAAATATAAAGGACGAATTGTTAGAGAAGGATGGCAGTATGGGCATGATGAACAGCGCCTCTCTTCTTAGTGAGGGCAAATCGACTAGGAAAGGGAAAGGAGCAGTAGCCTCTGGTTCGATGGAGCAATTCAGTGGTATGATGAGCACTGATCAGCAGTCGGCAGGCACGTATAAGAAGTACAGCAACAAAGGAGACAACCAAATGGACGTAAAGGATAAAAAAATGGGTAGCAGTAACAACAACGGTAATGTTGTTGGTGCAGGAGGAGTAGAACAAGGCATGGGTACTGCAGGAGCCAGTCATCCCTACAATATGTTTCCTAACTACAACATAAAGTACCCAATGAATGTAGAGATGTTTGGTAATATGGGCACCACCCCATATGGCATGCCGAATAAAGGAGGAGGCAATTACCCTAATATGAATATGATGAATGGAATGAGTGGAGCCAACGACATGAATAACGCAGGTGGAAATGCTAACCCCGCTGGGGGAGGCAGTTCTTATGGAGGGCTCAACACAATGGGTAATATGAACAGCTACAATATGATGGGCGCCTATGGAGACAATAGGTACAGTAACTTAAAGTCCATGGATCCGATGAAGACATTCAATGATGGGATGGTTATGGGCGGAGCAGCAGGTGCAGCAGCAGCAGGTGCTGGTGCAGCAGCCCACCATGGAAATAACAACCTTACCAATATGATGGGCACGGGTAATATTGGCAACGTGGGTAACTACAACAGCTTGAACAATTTTATGCATAATCGGAATTACCCTAATGATATGAGCATGCGAATGCTCAGCAGTAGAGGCATGATGGGGGTGAACAACCCTGCGAACATGTGTAACAATCAGGGCACCATGATGATGATGGGTGCGGGAGGAGCAGCAGGAGTCGGTGCACCTGGGGCAACTGGAGTAGGCATGCACGCTAACACAAGTAGTGCTGCCCGATTTAAGAATGAACAGGGGGAAGATGAAGAGTACGATGATGAAGAAGATGCAAATGGTGGCTCGGCCTTATATGGAGGAAGTAAATACATAGGGGGCAAAAATGCACATGGAAAGCAAACGAATAAAGCAAAAAAATCGGAGACGCAAAAGAAAGATAAGAAAAAAAAAAAAAAAAAAAAAAAAAAAAAAAAAAAAAACGCAAATACCTCCCTTGATACAGATGAAGTTGATGATAATGTGCAGAATGTCAACACGTATGTGAAAAAGTCCAATACGAGGAGTAGTAGTAAGAAGTCCCAGCTGTATGATCCCGTGGAAGATCGATACAATGAAAGGGCAAAACGGAATGAGAAAAACGACATTTTTGTTTCCCCGTATGTGGGCGCAGTGGAAGGAAGAACCAATTTGAGGGAGAGGAGGAAGGTATACAATTACGCTCAGATGGACAGCTACTTTGAAACGGATGAGGAGGATAAAAAGGTGGACGAGGAAAAAATGCTGCTCAGGCAGGAGAAGCAGATCATGGGAGGCATTGACCGCGTGCTGCACCATAGGAAGATCGTCGACCACAAAAATGTGAATAATATAAAGAACAATCCCTTCCTGTACATCAACAAGGAGAAAGGCGCAGCTACCAATGGAGCGGTTGCTGGTGGAGCGGCGGGCGATGGAACGGCGGGCGATGGCGCAGATGGCAAGGCCGTGGCGGCGAACGACCACGAGGACCCAACCGTAGACGACTTTTACGAGGAGGAGGACATTGAAGACGTAAGTCAAGTAGAATTCCTAATCAAGTGGATTGGAAAATCTCACATCCACAACTTTTTCTGTACCTATGAATACTTAAGAATTTTCAACGGACTGAAAAAGGTAGACAATTATATAAAGAAAATTAAACAGTCATTTCAGAAGAGGAAGTACATGACGGCTGATGAAATAGAGCAAGAGAAAATTTACTCCGAGATTAAGAAGCAAATTGAGATGGACGCCATCAACGCGGAGAGGATAGTAAGTCACAGAATGTGTGATATAACCGGTGAGCAGTTATTTCTTGTGAAATGGATGAGCTGCGCGTATGACCAATGTACAGAAGAGACTAAGCAGACTTTAATAGATCATGGGTTCACAAAACTTATTGAAGAATATTTTGACCGGGAAAGTAAAATATATGGCATGAAAGCTTTTTCAAGTGTTTGGAACAGGGGTCCTTTAACAGCTACCAAATTCGACCCTTACAATGAGACGCCATTTTATCTGAACGGGAAAAAGTTGAGGGCATATCAGTTGACTGGTCTCAATTGGATGGTCAGCAGAATGAAACGAAGTTTAAGTGTGTTACTTGCAGACGAGATGGGATTAGGAAAAACGGTGCAGACCATCGCAGTGGTTGGTCACATGTTATATAAGGAGAAGTTAGTTGGGCCTTATCTTGTAATCGTTCCTCAATCCACTGTTGATAATTGGTTGAATGAATTTAAGAGTTGGCTTCCCCAAGCAAATGTCGTGTGCTACCATGGAAATGCTGTTAGTAGAGAGCTTATAAGGACTCACGAATTGAAAAAGGTTTACGTGGCTAATAAGGGGTATAGGTATAAATTTGATGTGTGTATTACGACCCCATCCATTTTGAATAGCGTAAGCGATTTGGAATTGTTGAAGAAAATGCCGTGGCAGTTAATGGTGGTGGATGAAGCTCATCAGTTGAAGAATAGACAATCTAAGAGGTTCATAGAATTGAAGCAATTTATGGCTGAATCGAAATTACTCCTTAGTGGTACTCCCCTTCACAACAATTTGGAGGAACTGTGGACCCTGCTTCACTTCCTGAACCCACAGCAGTATACACATTATGAGAATTTTCAAAAAAAATATAACGAAATTGAAAACACTAGTTTAATAGGGGAAGCGAAGCAGAAGCAGTTGATGCAGTTGCAACACGAGTTGCATGAAGTTATTTTACGTAGGGTTAAAAAGGACGTGGAGAAATCTTTACCTAACAAAGTGGAGCGAATTCTGAGAGTAGAATTATCACCCATCCAGATTGAATTTTACAAAAATATTTTAACAAAAAATTATGAACAGCTAGCTAAAGCA